AAAAAAATAAATCATTATCATTTTGTTGAGCCTACTTTAAGGGTTGTTATCACATCAGGCATGTTCCATACACAAACAACAAGAACCACATGGAAAGAAAATGAACAAAACAACGGACAAATGTTAAATCATTTAGTGTGGAATATTTTTAAAAAGATAAATTGATAATCCCTTGTGTCGAATTTTTCTCCCAAGGATTTCTGAAACAGACTTTACTGAACTTTCCACTGTATTACTACCCACATCCCAGAAATGCTTTTATCATGATTTTATTGAAATATTTATCATTTTTGTCACACTGTCAAATTTCAAAATGTGAACAAATTGGATTAGAATGAAACTGTACATACCATCATGGATCCATCTGCGTTAGTGTTTTTTGGGTAGTAAGTCATCACAGTTCCACGATAATGAGAAGCCTGGGCGCTGCAGACCAGCAGCAGCAGCAGAGGAAGCAACATAGTGTACATCCACTTCCAAAGACAGCCTCTCCTTCCCACATATCTCCCTTTATATATTTGGCTTTCTGACATGCGGAAGGAATCATTTAGATTTTAGTGGGTGTAGAAACAGAAAAGGGCACTGCATCACAAAATGCAAGGGCAAAAGTAATATAATCCAGAAAAAAACATTTTAGGAACACAGATGCACTGAGGCAATGTCTGTCAAGGGTGGAAAGCTGTCAAGCTGTCAAGCTGTCAAAAATTTGATTTGACGTCTGAAAGCCGTACGTCAAAAGGTAGAATTACAATGTTCTTGTGATCTACCACGAATGAATGCAGAGGCTGCCTGTGTGAAACAGTTAAGAGTCGGAGGAAAGAGAACACACAGTAGCATAATGCAAGTTCCACATGGAGATGTAAAATCATAGTAATGGTTGTTGTAATATTAAAAATATCTGGTAAAAAAGAAATAGCAGTGGGTGTATGGGGAAAACAGGAAGCCCACAAACACGGATCCAGACTCTACAGCTTCAGAGCCCGTAACACCTGCTGAAAGCAACAGAAGGAGTGAGGAGAAAACACAAAACTTTGGGAAAGAGATGAGGTTGAGTTGGTAACATGTATTAATGGGATAAGAATGTATATAGAGGAAGAAGAGGAAAGCTCAGTGCATCAAGGGAAGTCTCCCAGCTTTCTAGGCCTATAGCAGCATAACTAAGGGATGGTTCAGGACTCACCTGAGCCAGCTCTAACTATAAGCTTTATCAAAGAGGAAAGTCTTAAGCCTACCCTAAATATGAAGATGGTGTCTGTCTCCTGAACCCAAACTGGGACCTGATTCTAAATCCCACACACTCCTGTTCTCAACAGCTTTGGAGCCAGAAACAATGAAATAAAAGATTTCACTTTTTTTTGGATAGCAAGTACTTGTAGTAAATTTAACTTGTTTTATATCATAGATGGCGGCAATGTGTTTATTGTGTGAACAGCTTTTAGCAGAAGAATGTGTGTTTTAAGCAATATCCCCCCCAAAATATTTCATGCCTAAAAACTGATAATTACTAAAATAAAATAATTTTAAAAATGCTCATCTTCTCCAAAGCTTCATGATAAAAATAGTTAATTTATTTACAAATTTAATTGTTGATTGATTTTGACTTTTTTTTTTTGTGTGTGAATTTTTTTGCACCACTACAATTGTGCTGATTTAACTAGTCATTTTGATTTTACGTACAAAACATGATCATCATATTAACGTATGATGCATTATTATAGATTAAAACCCCCAGATACCGTCACGTGTTTTCAGTTATGTTGTTGATTAGACCAGCTTAGACATGAGGTCATCATGCACTTAAAAATGATAAAGTTGTAAATTGCTCTGAAACAAAACTAACAGGAGACTCCCTGAAGCCCCCAAAATATATAAATAAAATAAAACAAATAATATTTAATTATCTTGTTGCATACAATATGTGTACAAATTATTAAGAACAAAAACATCATCTTTCTCCTTCTGTCGCTCTTTCTTTTTATATTTGGCTTTCTTCCACACAGCAGTACACTGAAATCATACAATCCACCAGGTAATGGTTCAGTATGAGTAATAAGGCAGTGAGCTTTACACAAGGAAATGGTTCGGCATGCCTAAAGTAATACATGTGTCATGAGGTGTTGCCTTACACCCGGAAATGGTTCCCTTACATATTTTAACTTTGGAAAGCTTTTAATCTGTCAAAAACTTGATTTGTCATCTCAATGGAATTACATGTGCACACTACATAATTGTTGCCCTTATGTAGTCTGCACATTTAATTCCAACAGTATAGTCCTGTGATGGCAGTTGTGGGTTATATTTGAGAATATTACTAAACCATGATTTCCCTATTCGCTTTATTTTTTAAAGATCTTTATTAAGTTTCAACAAGTCAGTTACAGAGCAATTCAGTAGATTACACACATAAAGACACGTCACGGTGTGTGAAATCTATTTGCACTTCCTGATCATAGCTTGCGTGTGTCTGTATCTCTTATTTCATGCCATTGAAGTGAGCCATGCCATGGGGAGAAAAAACATGATGAACAGCCTGCAGTTAATGTGTCTTCACTGCGCACAGACACACATACAGAAGAAGACAACAAAATTTTGATTTAATATTTTTAAGTATTTTTTGCCAACAGGTCTGTGTGTATGTATTTTCTTATAGATCATTAGTTTGACTGTAGTGTAACTTTGGTTGTGTTTAGGTGTACTTTTGGTATGAAGCTCCATAAAAAACAAAAACAAATCTGGACCTCACTTCTAAACCCTGGTTACTGACCTGATTAATTGTATGCAATGCATGCTACTTCTATTCCACAACACATAAGGGAAATATTGTACTTTTCACAATAGTTACTAGTTAATTTGATTTTTTTTTTTGTTTGTTTGTTTTGATGATGCATTATTATAGATCACATACCCTCACACGGGTTTTCAGTTGTGTTGCTGATTAGAACAGTTTATGTTGGAGGTGTGCAAAGCTCTGCTGAGATTCACATGAGGCCATCATGTACTTAAAGATATAATTTGCTTTGCAACAAAACTAACAGAAGACCTCCTGAAGTCCATTCACATATATTTTATTATCTTGTTGCACAAGACAAAACGCTCTGTCTTTCTGAGTTTCACACAGAAGAATTTCTTTAAGGTCAGACAATGAAAAATTGTACATATATACATATACATATTTTATGTGGTTCTGCCGTGTTGGTTCTGCAGAGCAGTTTGTCTGTTTGGGCTACTGTAGAAACATAGCAGCTCAACATGGCGACTTCGATCTAAGGAGTATGTAGATGGAAATGGCTCATTCTAAGGTAATAAAAACATAATGGTTCATTATGTAAGGCAAGGCAAGTTTATTTGTATAGCATTTTTCAACAAGAAGGGAATTCAAAGTGAAATATGAAAAATTAAAATACAATTTTAAAAACTTTACAGTAAAAACTGCAGTTCAAGTTACCAATCTACATTCTTAATTTGATTTTTTTGGAAGTGGTAAAAAGAAAACTCTTTTTTAAAATAATTGACAGTGTCAGCAGACCTGCAGTTTTCCAGTAGATTGTTTCAACCATATGGAGCACAAAAACTGAATGCTGCTTCTCCATGTTTAGTTTTGACTCTGAGACGACCTGAGAGGTCTGGATGGTTCATAACGAAGCAGAAGACCAGAAATGTATTTTGGCCCTAAACCATTCAGTGCTTTATAAACTAACAGCAGTATTTTAAAAATGGATTCTCTGACAGACAGGAAGCCAGTGTAAAGACCTCAGAACTGGAGTGATGTGATACACTTTTTTGGACTCTGCAGCAGCATTATGAATCAGCAGCAGCTGTCTGGTGGATTTTTTAGGGAGCCCTGTAAAGACATTATTACAGTACTGTACAGTTGTTACAGTCGACTGAAGATGAATGCTTGGATAAGTTTTTCCAGGTCCTGCTGATACATAAGTTCTTGATATATTTTTCAGGTGATGGTATGCTGAAATTCAATGGCTACATCACTGTATATAAACCACTATTAAAAGGAGCCTCAGAGCTCTATGAGCTCTCAGATGTAACATCACTGCTTTAGACATCGTCATCTGGGTTATTTTATGCAAACCATAACTCATAACTGTCACATGTAGACGGAACACCGACAAAGAGCTTAAGTGAGGCATTTGATGTGCAAGAACTGAGGCTGCACTGCTGTAATCAGTCCAAAGATGGTTTTGACTCAGGGGTTGACTGTTTATACTCTATGACAGTGGTCGGCAATGGGCGGCCCGCTGGCCAGAACAATAATATCTTGCCTGCGGCCAGATTGCTTTGATAGCAGAAAAATAAAACATAAATAAATTGATAGCGGCTGGTGCTGAAATAGATCTCAGTCATGACAGCAGTTACACTCACAATCACTTCCTCTTAAGTGACTGTGCCTCTAAAATAAAAGCGCAAGAAGGTCTTTTGCCGCAATGCTTCATGTCGAGTTTATTAAGAGCTTTAACTTTAAAGAGCTCTGAAGGACAATTCAAAAGAGTCTCCTAAAAAAGTCGTCAGTAAACGCCTGATTGGATTCCCCTGAATTTCCACAGGGAAATGAAAATTAGTATCCATAAGTTTATGAATACGGAACGTACACACACTGCAGCGCATGCTTTATGTGAGCATGTGCAATAGTGTCCTTTTATTCAATTTGTTTAACTATGGAGAAAAAAATATCCGCAATAAATTGGAATTGATCTCAGAATTTACCCATCGGGAGTCCCACTCTCTACTGACTGAGGTTTGACACAACACATTTTATGAATGTACAACGTTTAAACCTAGATAAATACCTAGTTAAATAAATATTGTAATATAATGAGAATAAAGTTTAAATTGGGTCAATTGTTATACATTTTGTTGACATTATTAACTTATTAATTATTAAGTCACAAGTTTTACTCTATTAAAGATAAAAACAAATTGCTTTGGCTTTAATATAAATAGACAAATGACAAGTAATTGTTTGACATAAAATCAAAGGCAGCAAAAACATTTCAAAATATTTATTGTTTAACTCTAAACACAAACTTTGCAATAAATGTTCAAGTTGAAACAGCAGGGGTCGCTGTGGTTGTAGATTTCACAATACTTTTGAGGCGTAGAGGGATGTCTGATGGCATCACCTGTTGATCTCTAATCTGCCGAGAAAAAGAAACAGTAGTGCTTAGTTAGAGGTGCCCGAAGTAGAGGGGACAATGTGTCTTTTGATACTTTTGATGAAGGGCTATGTTGAGCTACCCTCGAGATTTAGCCAACATTAGCACAAATGTCAGTTTGGAGCAAGTTGTCTGAATGACTTTGCTCAAAAAAAAATGTGGTATTGTGTAATTAGCTCCGGCATCAGTATTAAATGAAACTGTAAATTGAATAGTATACCTAAAGTGTAGTTTACAGCAGCAGGCATATCCCTGGACTCAGAAGACTAGGCATGTGGAGTGTGAGTGTAGACACACACTCACACTACTTCATACAGTCATGAATTTAGTGTGGTGTTATGCCCAACTGTATTGTGTCGACGAGCATAGTAGACAGCATAATGAGCCTGTAATTTATTTGTAATTGCGATGAGGATTGCAATGGGCCCTACTAAATGTAAAAAGGAAGGAAGAGGGTTAGAAATGATCAAGGAAAGACAGAGCAGCATACCTCCTGACATAACATTAAAGGCAGTCAGGCAGGTGAAGTTGTAGTACAAATCAATCAGGAGTGGAGCGAAGGACTTTGACATAAATTACCATAATCTGACTTGGTACTGTCAAAAAATTACCAAGAAGAAGCTGAAAGTCGGCCATAGACAGCCATGCCAGCAACAGTGGTTGGTTTGACAGCACCACAGAATCTTTTTTAACCTGATTTGGAGAAGCAGCTTGTTGAGTGTATTATTAGGTCAGCTGACATTTATTTTGGTCTATAACCAAATTAAGTCACAAGATTTTCCTAACAGTTTGCTGTGGCACACCAGCTGAAGTTCTCGCCTACATGGGCAGAAAACGAAAAGGCCAGCAAAGAGTGGTTTACAGACTTGACACAAGGCTGTCACTGAGAAAATAGCCTTGCCAGATCAAGTAGCTTCAACCAAGATAATGTTAATGCTTTCTTTGATAATGTGGACAAAGTCATACAGATTTTTGGGTTTTCACACTGGTCTGTGTTGTCTCAGCCACAGGGAATTGTTTACCTCCATATTGTATTTTCCCTCCTGGAAACTTCCTCAATCATTTCTTGATTAACTGGCAACCTGGCAAATCCCTCTGAATGGATGACAGATACGCACTGTGTTGACTTCCTCAAACATTTCAATGAACATGAATGCTCTAAGGCCCTGTTTACTCATTTTGGACAACAACAAGTTGGGCCGATGACCAGCCCATAAAGCTTGGACAGCGGTCCATTGGTTCATTTTAAATACTGACACTGGGCTGGCCCAATCACATCTCTGACTAGAGATGACCTAAAGGCAGGTTCCCCAGAAATGCAAATATTTGCAAATAAAAAGCTGAGTTTGTTCAGCTACACGTGTGACCAGACGTTCTCTGTTATGAACTTGAACAAGAACCGCTTGAGGTCCAGACTAACAGATCCCCCCTACATTACATTTTACGCATCTCAACCACTGCTCTCAAACCAGACTTGGCCTGTGTACTGCAACCTTGATCTTAGTATCATCTCTCACATTAGTGTCAGTAAGTTGCCTGTCTCTTGGTCATCTGAAATTCAATGAGTAAAAGTAAGCTATATTTCAGAGCTTAATGAAATATTTAAGAATTCCTAACCGCTTGCTCTGTGTGTTATCTGACTCTTATGTGGCCTGAAAGAAAGGCCGAATTGTTTAGTAGTGACCAGTTCACACTTAATTGGTGACATCGGTCACAGGGGGTCACACACTACACGACCTGACAGCGGCTGTTTCACCCTATGGCTGGACGACTTGAATTTGTTGTGAAATTTATAACTGCAATTGTTCCTTGTGTTACTTGACTATTTTAGGCTGATGCGATATGAAAGAAAGACTGAATAGTTTTTCAGATCCCTGTTCACACGTGTGGCATATTTTAGGCTGTACTGCCATTTAAGTAAAACACACAAAATTGGTATTGCAGTCTAATCACTCGCAGTATGTACATTGCATTTGGGTCAAGAGGTGAGCTTTGTAGTTTTTCTAGTCAACTGTCTATCTCCAAGATAATCTGCAAAAACAAAATAAGAATTACTGCATGTGTCCATCCGGTAGTGTTGCGCAAATATTTAGAGTTGGCTTATCAAGATTGGGAGTTGGTGCTGCTAATTCTCCAGTTGGACTCAATTAAACCATTGTAGAAGAACAATGAAAATATCAGGTTTTCAGGTTTTGAAAATTCAAATATGAACAGATGGATGGAAATGCAGTTCTCTAATGTTGAATGTGGTCTATTTCTGCATCTGCCTGCCCTCTGGGTTAGGTGCAGTTATCTGATAATTTGACAGGATTTCTAATAACATAAGAAGATACTGACCAGCTCTATGATGTTATTAATGATGTAGTCCTCAGACAGTGAAGACAGAGCGGAAACCTTCATCTTTACACCTAAGAAAACTAGAAACACAGTAACTCAACATTATAATGTAGGTCAGAACGGTGCTGAAACTGAGTAATACAGCTGTAGACAAGGTCTTCATTTTCAAGTCAGTGCCATTGTTCTCACTTAGCTCCTTCACTTGCCATTTAGCTATGAATGTAAAGTCCATTAATAGACAATTTAAGTGGATAGCATCACCATTTGTCATACTCACTTGGGATCGGGTATGAGTCTGTAAACAGAAGTGAATATAAAACAGAGATTATAAAGGAACTTCCAGGAAATCAAAAATCGTATTTATACATTATCAAAAAAAGATGTGTTGTACTCACTGTGTACAACATTCACAATCACACATCGTAGCTGCGATTGATACGTGACTGAACTGTAACAAATAATAATAATAGTATAGTAGTATAATAGTAATAAATTAATATTATGTCACAAAATGTTTTTATATACAGTATTTGAAGACAGAAGGACTTTCTTGCTCAAGAAGGACATTTTTTTCACAGCGTGCACATGTAATTGTCTATACATGCAATTCTTAACAAGGTATTTTTTACTTAGGGATGCTACGGTAGATAGGACAGAACTACAACGAGCCCTCCTTTGTTTTATAGAAATAGTTTGACATTTTGGTAAACATGCGCACGTTTGATTTTCAACTCATTCCTAAAGATCAGATATCTGAGACTACAAAGAAGTATTGTTAAGAATAAATTTTTAAGGAAAAAGTAAAAATTAAAGCAAATGATGTTACTCCACCAACTGATTATATTCCCTGATTACAAAAGTGACTGACTTGAAAACAGCCTGGACAACAAAACAGATGGGGTGGCTTTCTCCAGTTTGTATTTCAGACGGCATCCAACTCAGGATGTACTGTCCAGCTCCCAATGTAGTCTTGTTTATATTGTACGGCCCGCTGAACAGCAGCTCAGAAATCCTTTAACAAACAGAAGAAAAGACTTGGCAAGTTGAATAAGCATTTTCAAAACCTACCTAACCCCAAATGTAGCAAACCTGTCAGATTGAAATTCTACTGCTGGAGAATTTGCTCTAACCCGTCAGCTGACTCATCTTTCTTTTTAATGTTGTTTCATGGCAGCTGCTGGCTGATTTTTGATGAGTCACATGGGCTGCTGATTACTTTCTCTTTTTTTTAGTTGCATTAAAGTCAACAAACCAGTATTAGCCTTTAAAACTCAAATCCTGTGAAACTGAAAAAACATGGTGCAGTCTGCTTGTGCCTTTGCACAATGTACTGTACATGTTTTCTTTTGGCTTTGAATGCATACTGTTGTTTATGTTTACGCCTACTGTATAGGCGTAGACTGTATATCCTAATGGCACTATACAGTTGGTTCTCTAAGATTCTTTGGCCACTTGAAAACCATGGCAAATGAAAACCAGGCGTGTGACTGATGTCTTAATGTGGATAAGTTTTTCTTATATAACCTGAGAATGTTCTGCAGGGCATCATTAACCTGTGGTATTTTAAGATCAAACTTCTTCTCAATTTATAAATATATTTGACTTACATGGAGATATTTGCTGTTGCATTGATAATGATTTCCAGGGTCTGATCAACAGGGGCGCACAGCAGAGCTCTGTTGTCTGGGGTTGGAGGTAGAAACTTGGGCAGATAGAGTTCCTCTGTGCAGGACGGCACCGCAGCGTCCACTGGACAATAGACAATATGAAAAGCAAACATTTCAGCCACACTGAAGTTTTCTGAGTTTGTTCCCCCATCACTCTAATTTACTACATCTTTTTGTTTATGATAAAATTCCTCAAAACTAATGACATTTCCATCAGTGTTGAGTTTAGTGCCTGTTAGAAAATGTTAGGATGCAAAGCTGATATGTGAAACATAGATACCTCCTAAACATAAGCATATTAAACAAGAAAAATGTCATTGCAATGTGAATATAATACTGTACACTGTGCATTTTGCTGCCATATAACTTTGATAATATACACGTTACAAAAACTGATTCGTTTACTTAAAATCAACATTCAGGGCAACTAAAAAGTGACACGCTGACGAAACAAGGTCTTACCACTTAAAACAAACTGGACAGGTATTTTGCTTATAGCGTTGCTGGAAGTTATATTCGTCTGCATCCTATCAGTTTGAGTCAGTGTAATATTCTGAGTGGGAAAGTCCTCCATCACCAGCTGTACAGCGTACAGACCTTCATTACTGCTATTGGTGGGGCTGAATGACAAAGTACAGGACTGCAAGAGGACAAAAAGGGACAAGAGGTCAAAATAAGTATTTTTTTTTGTCAGACAATGAAATACAAGGCTGTGCATTTTAAAGGCTGTGTGTGTGTGTGTATATACAGATTTGTACAAGGTAGATGTTGTCACAATACAACATGTTGTAAAGTGAAAGTGAGTTTTATTTAACTCCCATCTTCTACGTAGCAGACAATACAGTAACACAAAGGTAATTATAAAAATGGTTAAGAGAAATAAACTATTCAATGGAAGTCTGATAGCTTGGGGGAAAAAGCTGCTCCACAGTATTTGAGCTTTCTTTACCAGCGTGGAGATGTGAGATGACCAAGTTCTCTGTGATGCTGATTCCCAGGAACCTGAAACTGTTCACCTGCTCCACCTCAGCTCCACTGATGCAGACAGGAATGTATGTCTTTATTTCCTTTTTCCTAAAATCAACATTCAGCTCCTTGGTTTTGCTGACGTTGAGCAGTAACTTGTTCTCTAAGCACCATCACCACCACAGATTGTTGATTTCCTCCAGATATTAAGTGTCATCGTTGTTTGAAATCTGTCCGATGATGGTGGTGTCGTCCACAAACTTCACAAGAGATTTCTCTCCATGTTGGGGTATGCAGTCGTGGGTGTACAGCGTGAACAGGAGGGGGCTGAGCACACAGCCCAATATCCAGTTGCAGAGTGTTGTATTTAGACCCACACTGCTGAGATTGCTGATCAGTTTCATGGGGGAGATTGTGTTGAATGCTGAGATGAAATCCACAAACAGCAAGTTTGTGGATTTGTGGATAAAAGCATCAGCTAAATGAATAAATGTAATGTGGTCTCACACATGATGGGGAAGCTCCTACTTTTGTAGCCTGTGATGTTTTTGATGGCCTGCCACATATCTTTGGTGCTGTTGGTGTTGAGGTCTCCCTCCAGTCTCTGCTGATGTCTCTGCCTTTGCCTCCTTGATGCCAGCTTTCAGTCTCGCTCTGGTGGTGCTGTAAGCTTCTTAATCACCTGAAGCAGCTTTTTTGGCCCTGGATGGAGCGCTCACTTCTCAATTCATCCACACCTTCTGATTAGAAAATTATTTTGTTGTCTTAGTAATCACCACCAGTGGTGTCGGAGTGTTTAGTCCACCCTGCACTAGGATTCATCTGTAAACAGTCTCATCAAGCAGTCATGTGACAGTCATGTCTATCCCAAATAAAAGGGAAATCAGGGTACCCAAAAACAAATGAAAGAAAGCCACGTGCTGCAGACACATGGAGAAAGCATTTGTTTAAAATAGCTTGCACTAAGAAATGTTAACTAACAAATAAAATGCTTCGAGAAAGGTTTATTTGCACAATATTGTAATTTAGATATAAAAGAGACTAATGTCCATTGTCCAAAAAAAGTAACTTAAGCTAAAACAAGCTGATTACTACATTATCTATGTATATTTTTGAATATTTGTTTTGTTTCCCGTTATATAAATAAATTTCAATTCTTAAAAGTTTTTATTGCTCCAATTTTCTTGGGGAGGACCCCCAGACTGCTTATTTATTCCAGCATTTCATATTTCTGCAAAATAGTGTTAAAAAATTTCTTGTCTTGTTCTCATGCATCATCACGTTTCGTGTATCATCACGACCCTAATCTGAGCCCATATATCCCCACCCCTTCTCGGTGGTAAGAACGGCTCATTAGTGACTACCCTAATCTCCACCACAGTTTAATTTGTACAGTTGTTAGCTCAATTATTTGTCAACATTTTCTCAAAAGATGCGTGAGAGACAGGGACCAAGAGAGGAAGGGGGCCCACAGAGACTGCTCGTATGTAGGGCCCAGAATTTTATGCTACGCCCCTGATCACCACTTTTTAAAAAAATATATAAATTGTTATTGAAAATGTCAGCATATACATAAACATATAAAGGTTTTTATTATTCATTCACCACATTGATCCGTTGATCACCACATCATCGACACATTTGCTGATGTATGATGTCATTGACGATGTATATTCCTCAAGGTTGATGTGTCTCTCCTGGGTTGTGGCCTCTCTGAACACACTCCAATCCGTGCTCCCGAAACAGTCCTGTAGAGCTGCTGTAGCCTCATCTGTCCACACTTTAACTGTTTTAATTGTTGCTTTGACCCTTTTAATCAGCTGGGTGTTAATGGGCTGAAGAAGCAAAGAAACATGTTCTGATAGACCAAAATGGGGACGGGGGAGGGCTTTGTAGCTGCCAGGAATATTGGCGTAGATGTGGTCCAGCACGTTTGGTCCTCTGGTGGGGATGTAGACATGCTGGTGGAAGTTAGGTAAAACAGTTCTGAGATCTGTTTGATTAAAATCACCAGCAGCGCTAAAAACACCATCAGGTTGTTTTGTCATGTGATTGCTGATGACCTCATACAGTTCCTGTAGTGCATTTTTTGAATTATAATTATATATAAAAACATATATAACATTATACAAACTATGTGTGGTCTTCCTTTTTGTCACAAACTTTTGTAAGGAGTCTGTTTGTAAAAAATAATTTAAATAAACTTTACTGTGGACTTTGTTAACTCACTGTTGAGAGGTTGAGAACAGATGGCGGTGTGCAGTCGTAACACTCTGACAGTGTTGTGTTTCCATATCTGCATTTAACTTCATCTCCATCAGGGTCAAACACCAACAGGTTGAAATCTCTCTGACAGTTTGAAGGAACTCTGAGAGAGAGAGAGGGAGAGAGAGACTGTGTTCGAAAACGGGCTGAACTGCTGTCTCAGAAGGTGTCTAACAGGACAGCGAGGCATCGAGGGCTGTTCGAAACAGCTCGAACAATCTCTTCTTGTCTCCTGAGATGCCTTCAAGCTGCCCCATTAGGCCAGTTTTGAAGGCAGCATTGATGGTGACATGATGCTGACTATGACCCATAAAGCAGCGTGGCTTTTATAAGTTTATAAGTTTATAAGTTAATTTCTGAGGTGTCTGTTTGGCTTTTCAATAACTAGTTAGCTGATGCTAAGGCTAGCGTGTCTTCTGACACCCAGAAGAGACGCAAGACGGCGTGCTGACGTCACACGTTGCTGTAAGTGCTGCCCTAGAAGGCTGTTCGAAACTAATGTAAACAGAGCTTCCTTCACTTGAAAGTGATTCCTTCTGAGGCAGCTGTCTATTATGGTATCGAGGCAGCGAGGCAGCCAGATAGTGAACAGAACTCCTGAAGTTCAGTTGTTAAGAATGTTTATGGCTTGCTCCTAAACAAAACGCCTGTTTTTTGTCAAAAAGTTGGACGAATATCGACATTTTATGAGGAAAATGTAAAAGGAGTGACCACAATACGCCACAGTAGAGAAAGAGAGAGAAAAAAATTAAAAAGAAAGAGAAAGGAAAAGAAATCTAGTTGAAGGAGCTCAAAAAGTGAGAAAACAAATAACTTTTGACATTTATTACTATAGACGCTTTCAACGGTAACAACATAAACAAATGGTACTTAACTTCTGCCAGACTTCCGCAAGCAATTCATAACAAGTAAATCACCTTAGCTGCCAGTCGAAGAAAAGAAACGTTACTTGGCCAAACTGAAATGTGATATGGTCACACTACCAGAGCCATCCATTCATCCATCCATCCATCGTCAACCGCTTATCCTACGTACAGGGTCGCGGGGGGCTGGAGCCAATCCCAGCTGACATCGGGCGAAAGGCGGGGTACACCCTGGACAGGTCGCCAGTCCATCGCAGACTACCAGACCCAACACAATTTTGAGACAAGACTGTTTTTCTACCGACCTGTCTGATTTACCGCAGTGATTCCCACTGGGGGGGGTCTCCAACATTGACTGGTCTGCTGTCAATGTGTTTGCGGGAGAGAGAGAGATAGTGAGCGAGTGAGAGGAGGTGCTGAGCAAATATGCTCTGCGTGCAGCTCTGCAATCAAATACAAGTTTTCCCATTAAATAGTAAAAAAAAACAAAAAAAAAACGGAAATCATTATGTGACGGTCAGCGCTGATAATGTGGTGGGGCGCCACAAATAAATGAATTAATGGGAAACACTGTACTGGATATCACTCAACATTAGCCAGTAAACACAAACCCAGTAATAAACAAACGGAACGTTGTCTTCGGGCCAGGCGCATCACCTTGGCAACGCGTCAGATGATAGCGTCTATAAAACGTCCCAAATGAAACATTCAAGCAAATAGCTAACAAGCTAACACTAGACAGTGGTTACCTAGCGGTTGTCAGAAGAGACGCTAGCCTTAGCATCACTTAACTAGCTTTTGAAAAGGCAAATGGCTTAGAGATGCCTCAGAAATCATACTTAACAAACTTGGTTGGTTATAGTCATGGACTAATATCATAATTCAGTGTTTAGTTCTCGCTAATTTTTTTAAATATTGAAGCGAGAAAACCACTGAAAACTTTTTAAAACATATATTTATACGAATTCGGCTTGTTTGTCCACTATCTTTACCAGTTGTCATAAGCTGCCGCAGCCGCGCTGCTTTATGGGTAGGCAGCATCAATCGACACCATCGATGCTGCCTTCAAAACTGGCTGTTATGGGGGCCGTTTGAAGGCATCATGGAACAGTACTCGATGCCTTGCTGTCCTGTTAGACACCTTCTGAGACAGCTGTTTAAACCACTTTGAACACAGCCAATGTCTACACACTCTGAAACCGCTGAATATCCCGCAGCTATCAAAAGCAATACTGCAAAAGAAAATACCATAAAACTTTGATTAATAGCCCGGGCTTTTATTTGCTAAAATAACTGAATTGACCCTGCCTATATTTGGGACAGGCCTTTAATTCCTCTTGCACAAATTGAAATAGGTTACTATGAAACAGTTTATTCATTTAAAACAGAATATTACTTTCTTATAAAAATTATCCAATAATATCAAATACACGTGATTCATTTGATCTAGCTCCGACAGACGGCTTATGTGCTTTTATTTTGAAGGCAGTAACCTAACGAAAATAACAGCAGGGTGCAGGATGAGAGAAGTGTGGCAGAAGTTAGCAGACAGAGAGGTTTGGACTTCACATGACAGGATTCACAACTTGAATTCATTTTTCTGAAAAGCTGTTTTAATTATTTTGATTGGTGGACCCTTACAGACTAAAGGAATATAAATAATCAAGGAACGGACACGTTCGGCAAGCACTTCAAAGGTAACGTGAGTCGGCACTTTTCATTTTCTTTTCATCTCTTGTACCATGCCGGTTACACCAGTAAATCTATTTGAATTAGACTTTGGGGTTTGTTATTTCAGTTAAATAAACTAAACTATTGTATTGTGGAGAATCTAACCAATCTAACGATGTGTAGCATGTCCATCCTGACAGATTAATCATACGTTCAAACATTAATTTATAATTGTATTAACGATCTGAGGAGCTTAGAAGCAGCAAAAGCGGGCTGCCCTGCAGGGTTTAAGAGGTTTTATATATCCAAGTAGGGCCCAGGTAGGGACCAGCTGCGCAGTTGGTGGGATTTGAACATATTTTCTATTATCTTTTATACATAATGTTACATATGTACAAAATAATATGAATACAACAACTGCATATAGTTGTGTTTTGTTTAGTTTGGGTTGCAGGTAGTGAGTCACTGTCTTGGTGGTTTTCTTTTCCTTGTTTTGTTTTGTTCTGATGGTCTGGCTTAGAGCTCATCCTGCATGTGGGATGAACTTGTCCCTTGCCCAGTGATTGTGAGCCCCCCTACCACTGGGTTACAAGTGATCATAACACGAATCAAAGCAAGAGTGGAAGTGTTCACCTGTAGTATTACAGCTAAGACATGTTATGGCATTAATGACAACATCAATGATCCAAAAGGTAATTTAGGAGAAGACGCAACTTTAAGACATGTGATCCTGCTGACATTTCTATATGAAATTCAAAGGCCTTTCATCTGACCTTGTTGCTTAAAACAAGTACTATGTAAGGTTTATTAACGTATGTTACTGAAGCTACTAATGACAGATTGCAAAATGTGATGCCTAAATTGTTTATATACTTAAGTTGTATTTTTTACTAACAAAACAGTGAGGAGGCTTACCTCAAAACAGGCAGTATGGTGGTCTGGGGTGATCTGTTGGCCTGGTTGGTGTCTGACCGGTTCCTCAGCTCCACCAGAGTCAAAGCTCTCCATGCTATGATGCCATTTTTGATGTAATCTATCCAGGCACCACCATCTGACCTTCAGTAGGAAAGGCAGTTTTTACTGTTCTGCTGAGAACCTGCGTGTTCATATGTATTATAGGTGTGCAGAGCTGACTTACAAGATATTAACTCTTAAAGTGGTGTAAGTACATTTACTCAAGTACTGTACTTGAATTACATATTTGAGGTACTTGTACTTTCAAGTCTTTTGTTTTCATGCCACTTTGTACTTCTATTCCACTACATCTCAGAGAAATATATTCTACTTTACTCCACTACATTTTTCTGACAGCTTACTAGTGGATAAAAAAGTAAATGTATACTTATAACTATAACTATAACCTATCTAACAGTGTACAAGTGCGCGCCTATTTTAACTATTCATGTAAAACACTTGATGTTTCCTTCTTCACAAATGTCAGGAGTTACCGCTTTACTTTTGAAATATTTTAATAATTTACATTTATTTTTAATAATATTGAGGTTTGGATTATTGGTTGAATAAAACCAGCTTTGTGCTTTAGGTAATTGTGACAGCTTTTCTCATTATTTTCTGAATTTGTACAAACCAAACAATCAATCAATAGAAGCAGCAGATTAATCCATAATGAAAATAATAATTTGCTGCTGTCCGATTCAAAATGTTCAAAATGGGCTCCACCTCAACCAACTACAACAATAAAACATCTGAAGACTTCCTCCACCTTTTGGGAAAAGAAGATTTAGATTTTCTCATCATCCAGAAACTATTTGAAAATGACAGTGAAATAACATAATGTAATGTTTTGCATTGTCATGGTGCACTTACCACAACTGAAAAGGAGTGTTGATGGAAACTTGGCGAGTCATGATTCCCTCTGTCTGACACCACACCAATGTGCCGATCTCCTCATCGACCTTGTTTAACACTGCAGAACTCACATTTCCACAATTACCGCTGAAGCAGGTCCATGAGGTAATGTCTGCGCAAGCGTGGAAGTTCAACTTATAGTGAAGGTCCACCTGTAGTATTACAGTGAAGATGTGTGTTTTGTCATTAACGACAACATCCATGATCCAAATGGTAATTTAGGAGAAGATGTTTCTTTGATGACATGTATTTGCATTTGTCTGTGATCCTGCTGACACACAAGACTTGATAAAATCTATATAGTGAGACCAGGTATGGTTGTAACATGGGGAGAGTTGTAACACCACCAATCCCGCATGGTGGTAGCCAAGGATGGAAAAAGGCACATTCCAACCCCATTATTTTCACATGGGTCAGGGTTCATACACAGACCACAAGAACCACATGTAAGAATATTTTCCAAAATTCAATTAATCTTTTTTAGGGGGTAAAATATGGATTCCTTTATTGTGCAGTATGGGAGACTGGGGATGGTTGTAAAATGTTTGACATTTCTGTCTGGATCTCAGAGCTCTTTCAAGCCAATGCATTCAAAATGTGATTCGAACTAGTTACATGTCTCTGCTATTAAATTGTGTAACTTATATCTCTGCAACACAGACAGAAAATGCATGGTTTAGTCTCAAAGTAAAATGTTACAATTTCCCCTATAGTCTGGGTTAGTTATAACACACGCTGGGGTGAAAGGTAACATTATGTAATAAAAATTTTATCTAAACACCCCTAAAAAAATAATACAATAATTTATTATTATTTTCTGAAAATAATTTTTTGTCCTCTAACGTTAGATTTTGGAGAAACACGAGAAGGAACAAGCAATTAGCCTACAGTTTTCTTATATTAAACGGATTTAATATCCCTAAATGCTGACATTTTTCAGTCTCTAATGTTTTACAGAATGATCCGCGACCACGCTGGCGGACTGGTCAGCTGCAGCCGAATCCTGTTTGAGTGTCTGTCAGTCTGGGTCAAACTAATACTTTCACTATTGGGGGGGGGGGAATGAGCGTCCCTTCCCAACTTGGACTGATCCTCGTTTTTGCTGAATTCTGATTGGCTCAATGGCGCCGATCAGACGAGTTTAATCCAAAAAATTTTGCACCAGTTTGCATCACGTTTTGAACTCCTGAACTCAGCCGAGGGTTGTGTGATAAGGACAACTAAGATGGTAAATAAGGTGAAATGAAAGAAAGAGGAAAAAGAAATGTGTGGTGCCGAAAAAATAAGAATTAAGAAGAAAAAGATGTCGGCACAAGAGGCAGCTAAATGCACCAAATTAACCGACCGTGTCATCGGAGATAAGGCCAGCTGAAGGCCCAGTCCCTACCCTCACCACCTTATAAAACTCAGTTAAAAAGTATTAGTTTGCCTCAATAGTAAATAACTTTGTAGCGATGAACTTCTCTGGGGACGGTCAAGAGTCGGTGCAAAAGAGTATTTATTCCAATTAAGGACAGAAAGACCCAAGCATAAGTATAAAGTGTTGTATTTTTAGACTTGGTGTCAACTACGATGTGCATGTCATGATCTTATTCAGTGGCCACGTGACCTGCAGCAGGTGTCTACTCGATGGCTCATCCTTACTACTACTTTGTATGTTATCAGATCCTTAAGCAAACACTATGCCATATTACCTAGGTGCTGAGCAAACATTACATCACATTATGTGGTGTTAAACAAACCTCCAAATTACCTCATCCTATCTGCACTCTAAACAAACAGTACCTGCCGTACGTTAGCTAGGTTTTTGCATGTTCACAACTTGACATGGCTTCATCAGCTTCACTTCACATGTAGAGACATTGAAAGGTTATAAGTTCACACAGAATAATATTGCGTACTTGAAACTTAAAAACAGTAAAACATTAATCGAACCAGTAATCAGACTGTCATCCTACTAATGATTATTAAACAACCTATAATCCCTCTTATGATGGAAAAGAATAGCATAAAAAAATTAAAATGAACATAGGTAAGACATAGGCAAGATTAAAAATTACACAACAGCTTCCTTGGTGGAAGTTGCTCCCAGCAGCAGAAGAAATAGGTGCACAATATAAACAACAGTTTGCTATGTCCAAAACAACATCCTTCTATAAGCGAGAAATCTTTGTGTGTCTGTATATTAGCTGTTATCAGTGGAGTGATGCAGAGGGACAGGGTGATGATGGACCCAGTCATGTTGATGAGGAGGGAGAGAAGAAAAACGAGGAGCTGCAGGAGGAGGAGGAGAAGGACAATGGAACCAGAAAAATACAGTGACAGGTACAGGGGCAGTGTGCAGGGCTGATTAGGCAATCATATGTAGAGATAGAATTAGAAAATGTATTATTGTTAGTCATATTTATTCTCATGCATATGTAGCTGTACAATCAGTCCAGCACAGGGGAAGCTGAGCCAGGGAGAGGCATACTCAGAACTGAAGATGAGGGATTAAATTTTTGTGCAAACTCACACACACACACACACACACACACACACACACACACACACTGCTCTATTTTATGCGACTTTATTGTAGTTTTTGAATATATTTAACTATTTTAGCACTCTGACGGGCTGTACACATGACATGTTTGTAGCAGTATACTTTAACTTACACTGGGCATATTTGAAATGTTTGCTACATTCCCTAGCTATGAAATTAGTTTTAATTTAATTTTAGAATATTATACTAATACAAATAATTAATACTCCACAGATTCTGTGCAACCAAATTAAAGATTTTTATTAACAAATTAAACTCAATCAGCAACAGAAAACTACTTCCTTAAAGGAGAAATTAAGCATGTAACAAGATTTAACTGAAAACACAAAAACAAAAAAAGACTGAACACTTAAATTAGTACACTTTTAACACCCTCCCTCCTCTGAGGGAATAAAAACGAGCACACAGCTCCACACTGCTGTCTGACCCTTACTGGTCCACTGACCCCATAGGGGTCATTTACACTGGGGACGCTGGGGACATTTTGTCACATCTCCATCACTTTTTGAAAGCATTTGTTAAAAATGTTCTGAAAAATAGCTTGCACCAAGAAATGTTAACTAACAAATGAAAATGCTTTGAGAAAAGTCATTTTGCACAATAAGAAAACATGCAATGCAATATAGTTTTCCCTCATATTTAAGCAGACATTTCCTCTGTAAATTGAGTATGCAGGAGATTCTGAGTTTAATGCTAAAAATCATATGGGGGAAGACTCCCAGACCCACCCCACAAATATTTCAACATCAAATATTTAATTTAAATAGTGCAAAAAATCTTGAGCTGGTACTATGCAGTGGAAAAGGGGCTTTATTCTCTCCAACAATTAGTGAACACTTTTGCAAGGCATTGCATGCGTGATACATTCTCATTTGGGGGTGACCACCCCTAAAGGTCTGATGCTAGAATCTCCCCTGCTACAAAGCAGGCAATGCTATATATCCCACGTGGAATAAGGTCTAAACTAAACATGTACAGAGTGAATTTGGTGATTGATAACTTCTCCTGATTGGATAAATAGGACATGTTACAACTGACACCTGTTACAACCTGATATCCCCTAAATTTAAAAAATATATATAAAGACAGTCACTTTTGGACTACTGTCTTGCCAATATCCTATAAATACTGTTATCGTAGTCATATTGTGAAAACATGAATTAAAACAAAACTGAGCGTACCGTCATAGATCCATCTGCGTTAGTGTTTTTTGGGTAGTAAGTCATCACTATTCCACGATAATGAGAAGCCTGGGCGCTGCAGACCACCACCAGCAGCAGCAGCAGCAGAGGGAGCGACATAGTGCCTGTGTAGTCCCTCTCCACAAAGAAAGTTAGCCTAAACACCAACACCAACACGTCTACTTCCAAAGACCGCCTCTCCTTCTCTCTCTCCCTTTTTATATTTGGCCAGTGTTGTGACTAAGGTGTATGAATATGTAACGCAATTACAGTAGGCTAATGTAGCCCATTGCTTTATGCTGTTACGCAGTAATACAATGCACTACTAATAAAATGTCAGTGATGTTACATGTTACAATCTCAGTAACGCACAGCGCATTTTAACCCAATATAAAGTGTTTGTTTTTTTAATAATTCACCAACACCAAGAAACATTTTGGCAGCAGAAAAAATATTCTGAAAACATCATTTGTTAAATGTTGGAGGGTCTCTAAGATATTGAAAATATAGATCATGGATCATGCAGAAAAATAATTGTAGGCCTATAGGCCTTATATGTGTTTTCTTTAGCGATTACGATCATGATTAGAGAGGCTGCTGTCAGTGCATCCTGACCGATGCTGTCGGAGTGTCGTGAGATGTAAATAATCGATGACGTTGCTGTACTTGTGCGGAAATGCGCACAGCCCATTTCTGAACAGACCCAGCGGCTGTTAATCAGAGTGTTCATTTTGATGACAAAGAGCCACCCGATCCGCGGATATATTTCTGCGATCTGAACATCACTAGAACCCACCCATGCAGGCACATCTTACTATCTGAATAATGCGCCCATTAAATAACAGTGGATGTAGCCTAACTGAGAAACGACGCAAAAGTTGTGTAAAGCTTAACAGTTCAGACAGTATTATTGTAATATAACGTATCACTCTCAAATCACAGTAACTAGTTGTCTATAATGTATTACATTTTGGAAGTAACTTGCCCAACACTGTATTTGGCTTTCTTCCACAGGGAGATGACCGTCCAGAAAATCCCAATTGAGTCACATGTATGTCCTGAGACGCTGGAAAATGATCAAGCTGACAAAAACTTGATTTACCATCTTAAAGTCATATGCAAAAAGAATTATGACCACATTCATGTAATCTACCAGGAACAGATGTGCCTCAGATAGAAATAAGAGTGGGAGGAAAGAAAACACACAGTCTCACAATAACAGCTCTGCACAGAGATTTAAAATAATTGCAATGGTAGCAGTGGTAATACAAACATCATCTGGGCTCTTATATGAAAACCACAACTATAGACCAGTTCTATAGATCTACAACAACTGAGGCTGCCTGCTGTAATCAGACACCAGAGTTTTTGGACTCAGTGGTGATGTGTTGGTGTTTGACTGTTTATACTGTTAATGTTTGATGTGTCATTGTTTTGGCAATGTGTCCCTGTACCTGTTTACAACAGATCTGATGACTGTACAAGTTTTAGTCATAGAAAGTGGGTCCAATAACCTAGATGAAGGTAAATAAATGTTCTAATATAATGAGGAAAGTAAAAGTAAATATTTTTTAAACCCCAAATAATTGTCTTGAATTTTGTTAACATTATTAAGTCACTTACGCTTAATTCAACTAAAGATCATTTATTTTTGCAGTTCACAACTGCACATTTGGCACAAAATCAAAAGCATCACAGATATTTCAAAATATTTGTTCTACAACATGAACCTGCTTTTACATTCACTCAGTCATGAAAGCTGAAAATTAAAACCAAATCCAGCTCACACACTGTAAATCTGAAAACATGTTTGATATAATGACCAGATTTGGAATTAACAGTGCTTTAGAAAAGCCATTTGCTTAACTGTGGCGTTGAAGCAGCTGACTTTGCGGATTTATTTGGCAGGCAACTGAAAACAACATTTTCCTGCAGGAGTCAATAAATGTTCATGTTGACACAGCAGGGATCGCTGTGGTTGCAAATTTCAGTTTCACACTAGCTCACGAGGCGTAGAGTGATGTCTGATGGCAGCACTTGTCTCAGCTGTTCAGCTCTAATTTGGACAGAAAATAGAAACAGTGGTTCTGAGATACCATCATGATTTTTTCAGATATGATGGTTGTGTGTAAAGTGGGGGAGCATGGTTTCCACCAACATGTCCCTGAGCAAGACACTTAAACCATCGTTGCTACAGAGGCGCGCAACCTCTATGTAGCAATTGTAGGTCGCTTTGGAAAAGCGCGTCAGCTAAAGCAATAAATGTAATGAGTCTACTAGGACTAAAGATCCAATCTATCTAATCTAGTATTTCCGACTGTCCCAGTCTGTCTTTTGCATGTGTGTCAAGATTTGACTTGTGTAGTTTCTCTAGTCAACCTTCCATCCAATTGTAGTGAAAATTGGCAAAACAAATATGAAGATTAATGCACGTCTACATCCACTAATGTTATGCAGATATTAAAGGTACTTTAGTTGTCACATAGACATAGCAAATTTCATTAAACCCATCCATCATGCCGCCAATAGTGTATTACCTACTCTTTTGTTGTTTAATATCCATTCTGTGTTCTTTAGGTGCGACAGTGTGATAGATAGATATCAGGTTGGGTAAATCCACATCGTTCTCATTATGTTGTGTGCACTACAGAAACATGTTGTACTCCTAAGAGGTGTGCGTCAAAAACAGAAGTAAGTTTAAATTATGATTTATGGCAGGTCCACATTGAGATGTAAAGTCATAGTTATAGTTGTAATAATGCAAATATAAGTATAAATAATAGTAGTAATAATAAGGATAGCAATATTATTATTATTATTATTATTATTATTAATAATAATAATAATATATCAATAATAGGACTAATCATAACAATTGTAGAAGTGGGTGTGGAGCAGGAGGAGGAGGGGTGGGGGTAGAAGTCGACTTGCCTTAATGGAATAAGAATGCATATAGATTCAGGGTGCAAATTATGGGGGAGCTTGGCTCCCAAATGAGCTCCCCTGAAGACATGATTTGTGAAATTTTCAGGTGTCTCTAAAATATTGACAATGTGCAATTTTGCCACGCATCTATCTATTCTGTTACATCTTCATTATTATGGATCATGTGTAAAATTATTGTACCATTATTGTTGTATGATTCGTGCCTGAGGGTGATTCATTGCTAATTTACATAGCAATGAATCACCGGCGGCATGCATACTATTTTTCCGTCACAATTGAAGCATAGCGGTAATATCGCAAGCTTCACTCACTTTCACTCAAAGTTTAGAAAAATAAACTTCTCAGTCAGCATGGATTAAATCAGATCATCACCTGTCCACATTATGGGCTTCTGGACGAACAGCAAAGCAGCTGATCCCAGGCCTGATTCCCAATTATCTGTATTATTCACAGTTAGCACTGAGTGGGTGTTAATGAGAATTGGATCTTTTGTAGGCAGCGTGGCCTATTTTTATTTGTATTTACAATTCTTATGCATGTGTATGTTGTTATAGACTAGTTTGTTGATACGTGACCCATGCATTAGATATTGGGTATGATGAGGACTCACACTGTGATGTTTGGGTGTGGTTTGATGGGGTCGTGTCTGATGTGCTGACTTAAGAAAGTAGGCCTACATGCTATGAATGTTTCTATGCAACAAGAGACCTTTCTTTGAGGCACATGCAGAATCATGATGAATAAAGAAACTGGCCAGGCCAAGAAAAAGCACAAAACTATTGGTGCAAAGTCTTTTTTTTTCATGAATGCAAAGGATATGTGGGTGCCTCATCTGTGTTACCAGCGTTTCAGTCGGTAAAAGATGCAATGTTGAGCGCCACTTCCCACGGGACTGCAGATGGAAAAGATGAACAAGCTGAAATCAACAGAAAGAAACAGCAATCTCTATTCACAAATCATATGAAGACAGGCAAGGTAGCAACGGAGGCATCGTTTTACGTGGCGCACATCCTAACCATGCACAAGAAGCTGTTCACCGATGGCAGAATGGTTGAGGAAGCAATGAAGGTTATGGCCGAAACTTTATTCAGACTATGCCTGTTATTGCTTATGTACAGCTTACTGCTAACACAGTGGCAAGGAGAGTCTGTGCACTTTCTGCAGATGCAAAAACTCATTTGAATGTCTTTCAGAACTTTTAAAAATAAAAGCTCTCAATTTAACTCGAAATAAAACATTGCTGCAAAAAACTTTCTCGCACTTTTATTTTGATGGTACAATAACTAAAGACATTGTAATTATGTGAGTAACTGTTGTCATGACTGAGATCTATTTTTACATTTATTTAACTACTGTATGTACGATAAAAATACAATAGTAGCAGTTTGACTTTCCGTACAAAACATGATCGACATATTGAATATGACGACACGGACGGCTGGTGGTGATGGCACAATGGATATGACGCCTCCCTTTGCTGTGAGAGACCTGGGTTCAATCCCTCACTGTGTCCCTGAGCAAGACACTTAACCCCTCGTTGCTCTAGAGGTGTGCGACCTCTGACATGTATAGCAATTGTAAGTTGTTTTGGATAAAAGCGTCAGCTAAATGTAAATTATTATAAATATTTTTTTAACTCATAACGTCACAACATTTTGAGTATTTACTCTAAATGAAACGTGATAGAAAACTGTAAATACAAACAGAAAATAATAATTTAAATAACACATATAAAAGCGGTACAACCTATCAACATTGAACCAAAATAAAAAAGAAAGCTATCCCATACACATGAGATTCTCAGCTATGAATAAAATCTAAACAATTTTTGTCAAAAAAGATCCCACGTTACAAACCACCTTAATCTAATGTTCTAATATGCAAAGACTCATAAGATGCTGGTGCTGGCTATTTTTCAAATCATTAGAAGAAGAGGTTGTGATATTTCCCTAGTCTTATCGTAAGTACGCTAACCTTTGCACATACCTTGGTCAATATTTTGCACATACCTGCATAAACTGCACATGTCATGTCCCTGCCTGTTCTCAACAGATCTGATGACTGTACAACTTTTAATCCTAGACAAAGGGTTCAATAACTTGATGAACTTCATGAAGATCAATAAATAAATGTAATACAATGGGGATAAAGTACTTGTGTCAAACCACAGTCATTTGCCTTAAATTTAGTTGACATTTTAAAGTCACTTAAGCTTCATTCTATTAAAGACAATTTGTTTTTGCAATTGGCTTTAATATAAATAGACAAGTACATATTGGACATAAAATCAAACGCAGCAAAAACATTTCCTTTTTTTAAATGTTCAAGGTGAACAAGCAGGGGTTGCTGTGGTTGTAGAGTTCAGTTTTTCATTACTCAACAGGTGTAGAGTGATGGCTGATGGCAGTTTATCTCTAATCTGCAGAGAAAAAGAAACAGTTGCTTAGTTAGAGGTCCTGCTTAAAACCATAGTTTGTGCTCAAAACTTCAAAATAAACACAGATGGTGATTTCCCCTTTATGCATCAGATCGTCATCTGCTCATTCTGTTTTAATGGAAACAGTGGCTGCTTCTCATTTGTCCAACAAAATGCTTACCAAAATATCAAATGGCATGTTACGTATGAGACAGCAAAGTTGTCACACTGTTCTTAACTTCAACACCAGAGCCTGTATCTCAAAAATCAAATAGCCACTTTGTGTGACTTCTTTTTCGATGGTCAGTGTGTTCACTTGTGGTCAAGGTCACTCTAATCTAAAGGTTGAGCAGAATTTGTTTTATTTTTAAAGTAAAACATCTCCTCAACAAGTCCTCACATCTGACAACTTGCCCCATTACATACACTGCTCAAAAAAATAAAGGGAACACTTAAACAACACAATGTAACTCCAAGTCAATCACACTCCTGTGAAATCAAACTGTCCACTTAGGAAGCAACACTGACTGACAATCAATTTCACATGCTGTTGTGCAAATGGAATAGACAACAGGTGGAAATTATAGGCAATTAGCAATAAAGGAGTGGTTCTGCAGGTGGTGACCACAGACCACTTCTCAGTTCTTATGCTTCCTGGCTGATGTTTTGGTCACTTTTGAATGCTGGCAGTGCTTTCACTCTAGTGGTAGCATGAGACGGAGTCTACAACCCACACAAGTGGCTCAGGTAGTGCAGCTCATCCAGGATGGCACATCAATGCGAGCTGTGGCAAGAAGGTTTGCTGTGTCTGTCAACGTAGTGTCCAGAGCATGGAGGCGCTACCAGGAGACAGGCCAGTACATCAGGAGACGTGGAGGAGGCCGGAGGAGGGCAACAACCCAGCAGCAGGACCGCTACCTCCACCTTTGTGCAAGGAGGAGCAGGAGGAGCACTGCCAGAGCCCTGCAAAATGACCTCCAGCAGGCCACAAATGTGCATGTGTCTGCTCAAACTGTCAGAAACAGACTCCATGAGGGTGGTACGAGGGCCCGACGTCCACAGGTGGGGGTTGTGCTTACAGCCCAAGACCGTGCAGAACGTTTGGCATTTGCCAGAGAACACCAAGATTGGCAAATTCGCCACTGACACCCTGTGCTCTTCACAGAAGAAAGCAGGTTCACACTGAGCACATGTGACAGACGTGACAGAGTCTGGAGACGCCGTGGAGAACGTTCTGCTGCCTGCAACATCCTCCAGCATGACCGGTTTGGCGGAGAGTCAGTAATGGTGTGGGGTGCCATTTCTTTGGGGGGGCCGCACAGCCCTCCATGTGCTCGCCAGAGGTAGCCTGACTGCCATTAGGTATCGAGATGAGATCCTCAGACCCCTTGTGAGACCATATGCTGGTGCGGTTGGCCCTGGGTTCCTCCTAATGCAAGACAATGCTAGACCTCATGTGGCTGGAGTGTGTCAGCAGTTCCTGCAAGAGGAAGGCATTGATGCTATGGACTGGCCTGCCCGTTCCTCAGACCTGAATCCAATTGAGCACATCTGGGACATCATGTCTTGCTCCATCCACCAACGCCACGTTGCACCACAGACTGTCCAGGAGTTGGCGGATGCTTTAGTCCAGGTCTGGGAGGAGGTCACTCAGGAGACCATCAGCCACCTCATATAAAGCATGCCCAGGCGTTGTAGGGAGGTCATACAGGCACGTGGAGGCCACACACACTATTGAGCCTCATTTTGACTTGTTTTAAGGGCATTACATCAAAGTTGGATCGATGATGGATGGATGATTTTGAGTGTGACTCCAAATCCAGACCTCCATTAGTTGATAAATTTGATTTCCATTAATAATTTTTGTGTGATTTTGTTGTCAGCACATTCAACTATGTAAAGAAAGGAGTATTTAATGACATTATTTAATTCACTCAGATCTAGGATGTGTTAGTTTAGTGTTCCATTTTTTTGAGCAGTGTACATATCGAACATGCTCAAAAAACATTGTGATATTGTGTAAGTAGATCTGACACCAGGATTAAGTTATACTGTAAATACTGTGAATATTATTATTATGAGGGGCAGTGATGGCGTGACAAATGTAAAGTTTACAGCAGCTGGCAAATCCCTGGACTCAGAAGACTGAATTGATGGAGCTGTATGAAGTAATATGTGAGTGGGAATATACTGTTTCATACAGTAGGCACTGTTGATGAAGGGCTATGTTGAGTTACCCTCGAGATTTAGCCAACATTAGCACAAATGTCAGTTTGGGGCAAATTGTCTGAATGACTTTGCTCAAAAAACAATGTGGTATTGTGTAATTAGCTCTGACATCAGTATTAAATGAAACTGTAAATTGAATATTATACCTACAGTGTAGTTTACAGCAGCAGGCATATCCCTGGACTCAGAAGACTAGGCATGTGGAGTGTGAGTGTAGACACACACTCTACTACTTCATACAGTCATTACTTTAGTGTGGTGTTATGAACTGTATTGTGTCGACATGTATAGTAGACAACATAATAAACCTGTAATTTATTTGTAATTGCAATGAGGAATGCAATGGGCCCACATAAATGGATAAAAATGCAATGTTTTTAAAGGAAGGAAGATGGTTAGAAATTATCAACAAAAGACAGAGCATGGCAGCACACCCCCTGACATAATATTAAAGACATAAAATTGCAGAACAATTCAATCAGGAGTGGAGCGAAGGACTTTGACATAAATTACCATAATCTGACGTGGTACTGTCAAAAAATTACCAAGAAGAAGCTGAAAGTCGGCCATAGACAGCCATGCCAACAACAGTGGTTGGTTTGACAGCACCACAGAATATTTTTTAACCTGATTTGGAGAAGCAGCTTGTTGAGTATCCAAATGAGGTCAGAAGATTTGCCTACCAGTTTGCTGTGGCACACAAGCTGAAGTTCTCGCCTAAGTGGGCAGAAAACTAAAAGGCCAGCAAAGAGTGGTTTACAGACTTGACACAACGCTGTTGTTGAGAAACTAGCCTTGCCAGGTCAAGTAGCTTCAACCGAGAGAATGCTCGTGCTTTCTTCGACAATGTAGACAACGTGATACAGAATTATGAGTTTGTCACACTGGCCTGTGCTCTCTCAGCCACAGGGAATTATTTACCTCCATATTGTATTTCCCCCGCTGCAACTTCCTTAATCATTTCCTGATTAACAGGCCACCTGGCAAATTTCTCTGAATTGATGACAGATACGCACTGTGTTGACTTCCTCAAACATTTCAGTGAACCTGTAAAATGCTCTAAGGACCTATTTACTCATTTTGGACAACCGCCAGTCTTATCTGTGATGGATTCAAATATGCCAAATAAAATGGCATAATAATGCTGTCCTTCCCACCCCACTGCTGTTGGCTCTAACCATAAGACTGTTGTAGTAAATGTGTTCTTATTTTTTGACAATCCAGTGCGATAACTTCCCTGCATGGGGCAAATTGTTACAATATATATAAGAGTCTACAACTCTGTAATGAGATAGGATTAATCATAAAGGCTTGCATTAGTGTGCACTCCAAATAAAAAAAAATTAGACATAACTAATTAAAATATAGGGCTGAAAAATTTACGTGTCAATGTGTAATTTAACTAATACCTACATTTATGTATTTCATGTTGTTGTGGGGACAGCCCGGCTGACGGTGAGTGTCCTGGTTTCCTTTCCCCCCCCCCGCTTTATTTCACCCATTGTTTTGCTCTGCCTGCCTCCCTGTGTTCTCCTCCTCTCTCCCTCTGCTCCTGAGCCCAGCCAACTACCCGCACATGCACCTCATCAGCCACCTCGTCAGCCTGCCACACCTGCCTGTAATCAACCTCATCCCTGCCTGTATTTTAACCCCAGTTCTCCACACCATCCTCGCTTGATCGTCGTTGCTCCATACCCGGTGCCACCTCTGCGTTCAGGCTCTTGTGTTTTTGATTCCTCTCAATTCCCCTGTGCTTTGTCGCTTCTGTCTCTAACCCTGTCTCTTTGTCTGCTTTCCTCCCAAATTCACTCACCCTCGTCCTCCGTCCTGTCAGCTGGTCTCATCCTCCACGGGTCCTTTCTGTCCCGTCTCACAACAGAACGATCAAGCCACCATGGACCCAGCACGACCGACAGCGCTCTCTCCTGGTACAAAGCGGTCAGCGAGGGCCAGCCTCACGTCCGCTCCTGCTACTCCTCCTTTGTGGAGGAGATGCGGAGAGTTTTCGATCGCCTGGTGCGGGGGAAGGAGGCGCCTGGGCAGCTTCTCTCCCTCTGCCAGGGAAGTTGCAGTGTGGCGGAGTACTCAGTCGATTTCCGCATTCTGGTGGCAAGTCGGGCTGGAACAACGAAGCCCTCCAGTGCATCTTCCTGGATGGCCTCAGCGATCGCATTAAGGATCTGCTGGCCACTAGGGACGTACCGACGGACCTTAATGCTCTGGTTGAGGCGGCCACCGATAACCGCTTCCGGGAAAGAGCCAGGGACCGCTTCGCTCGCGGGTCCGCCGCCTCCCGCTCTAGCCTCACACCATCTCAGACTTCTGTTTTCCTGTCCCCTGCACCACACTCTGCTACACCGCCGGGCCCCACAGCACAGCCGGCGCCGCCTTTGCCTTCCCCCGCCGCTCCTCCAGAGTCCATACAGTTGGGTCGCACTCGCCTCTCCCCGGAGGAACGCGAATGGCGCCGTCTGGCATGTATTGCAGCAAGCCCGGCCACCTCCTGCCTGCCTGTCCTGTGCGGCCAAAACAGCACCAATTGGAACCCAATTGTCACACATCCTGCCTTTTGTCTGCTCGAGCCCCCGGTAATCGCTTCACCTGCCCCGCCGCCCATCCCCTCTGACCTCTCTGGGGTGCCCAGTGAGTACTACGACCTCACACTTGTTTTTAGTAAAGACCAGGCCCTGTCTCTACCCCCCACCGCCCCTATGACTGCTCCATAGATCTCCTCCCGGACGCGCCTCTCCCCTCCAGTCACCTATACAACTTGT